ATAGAGCGAATGCAGGCTGCGCAGCTATCCCAGAAGCCAGAACAGCAAGAGGGATTGCTGCTTTCACTGCGCAGCGATCCCTCTTGCTGTTCTGGCTTCTGAGATTCAGAATATTTTTTTTCTTGTTTTCCTCCTCTAAAAACTAGGTGCGTCTTGTAGTCTGGTGCGTCTTAAAGAGCAAAAAATACGGTACCTTCTGCAACCCACTGTTCTAAAATCTACACTGTCCTCCTCAAGAAGGTTCAGGAAGAGGGGGGGCAGTCCCCACCATCCCTCCTCAGTCCAGTCCATGGGTAGGCAAACTAAGGCCCGGGGGCAGAATCCAGCCCAATTGCCTTCTCAATCCAGCCCACGGACGGTCCGGGAATCAGCGTGTTTTTACATGAGTAGAATGTGTCCTTTTATTTAAAATGCATCTCTGGGTTATTTGTGGGGCCTGCCTGGTGTTTCGACATGAGTAGAATTTGTGCTTTTATTTAAAACGCATCTCTGGGTTATTTGTGGGGCATAGGAATTCGTTCATTTCCCCCCCCAAAAAAAAATATAGTCCGGCCCCCAGAAGGTCTGAAGGACAGTGGACCGGCCCCCTGCTGAAAAGGTTTGCTGACCCCTGGTCCAGTCCCTGACATAGAGATGTAAGGGACCCCAAAGGTCATCATCGAGTCCATTGCAGAAATCCTCTTCTGAAGAAAGGGCTCGGTGGCCATGATTTTTTAATTTCTATTTTTAAAAGTGAGACCGATGGACTGGGGGAAATGGATGCACAAGAAAGGAGCTTAGAAAAACATGGACGGCATCACATTTAAAATACAGTACAGTCGTACCTCGGGTTGCAGACGCTTCAGGTTGCGTTTTTTGGGTTACGGACCGCCGAAACCCGGAAGTACCGGAACAGGTTACTTCCGGGTTTCAGCAGTCACGCATGTGCAGAAGCACTAAATCACGCTTTGCGCATGCACAGAAGCGCCGAATCACAAACCCACGAGTGCGCAGATGTGCCGCTGCGGGTTGCGAACGTGCATCCCGCACGGATCACGGTTTTCTTCTTGCTGTCTCTCAAACAACGCCCCCTGGCTGTTTGACTGGTGCAGACAAAAGGGTGGATTTCTTTATGCAATGACTAATCGCTGCTTTTTTAAAAAAAACACACACGAGAGGTTCAGGGAAAATGTGTCTGTTGAAGGCTGCTAGTTGCAATAGCTATGAGCAGGAACTCTCTGTACTGTATACCTCCGGATTTCCTAGGGACATATACCTGAGTATTTGTTCCAAAGCTCTGGGGCGATCGCCAGGAATCTGCTCCAGCAGGGCTGCCCATCATTCCTCCGCTGTCAATATTCTGTTGCTGACACTTTGCCGTGGAGCAGTTAGGATTGCTGATTACCAAGCTCTGATTTTTCCAAAAGCAGGCAGACAAGGCTGATGATAGCCGGTTTGGGGGCCACATTTTAGCTTGTTTGTAACTCAGGACCCAAGTAGCCCTGAGAGCTCTGCCAAGTGTCTCTGTCTCCTCCAGGAAATGTGTGTGCGTGCGCGCATCTCTTTTCATAACGCACAAGCATCTGAAGAGACAGGTGTACAGTGTTCTTTTGCTGACATATTGCCGCTGAGCAGTCAGGAGGTTCATAACCTTACCCCTTATGAGCTCACTTGAGTGCTTTGGTAAAGGTAAAGGGACCCCTGACCATTAGGTCCAGTCGTGGCCAACTCTGGGGTTGCAGCGCTCATCTCGCTTTATTGGCCGAGGGAGCCGGCGTACAGCTTCTGGGTCATGTGGCCAGCAGGACTAAGCCGCTTCTGGCGAACCAGAGCAGCGCACGGAAACGCCGTTTACCTTACCGCCAGAGAGGTACCTATTTATCTACTTGCACTTTGACGTGCTTTCGAACTGCTAAGTTGGCAGGAACAGGGACCGAACAACGGGAGCTCACCCCGTCGTGGGGATTCGAACCGCCGACCTTCTGATCGGCAAGTCCTTGGCTCTGTGGTTTAACCCACAGCGCCACCCACGTCCCGTGAGTGCTTTGATTGATGGAATTAATCCTGTTCCAGGTGCCACGTGATACCCATTCCGCCCTTGTAAGAACTCAGTCTTTTAGTGTGGCAGAGTCCACACTTTGGAACTCCCTGCCTCTTGATTATCAGGCAAGTGTCTTCACCGTACTCTTTTGGGCGCCTGATAAAAGCATCCTTGTTAGACAAACCTATCCAGATGTTTAGAAAGTTCATGCGAGCTTTAATGTTTTTAGTCTATTGTTATTGCAACTTTTCGAAAGTCTTAACTTATTGTCAGTTTTCCTTCGTGATAATTGTATGTCTTTTGTAAAGCGCTTTTTTATTTTACAAACAAGCAGTGTATAAGTTATGTGAAATAAACAGTAATAATGAATAGCCTCTGATTGCCTGATTGCCAACGACTGGGGTGCTTGCAAAGAATCTGGCAACAGCTGACATTTAGGCTCTTTTATATACCATGAAAAGCATCCAGCCTTTTGGGCACATTCCTGTCTTATTCAAGAAATAATGCATGCATCTCCAAGCAGGGCTGGAGAAAGATACCCCCGTCTGAAATCCAGGAGAGATGCTACCAGTCAGTGTTGACAATACTGATTTGAATGAACCAGTAGCCTGATTCAGAATAAGGCAAAGTCCTAAGTTTACACGAATCTGGAGGAAAAACTCTCATGTCTTTGAAAGGTAGCATGGGAGATGTCCCCTTAGAGCAGTGGTGGCCAAACTCTGCCCTCCAGCTGTTTTGGGACTACAATTCCCATCATCCCTGACCACTGGCCCTGTTAGCTAGGGATGATGGGAGTTGTAGTCCCAAAACAGCTGGAGGGCCAAGTTTGGCCACCACTGCCTTAGAGGCATGCTCTGCAATGGAGACACATCTGGGCCCAGATGTGGAAGGGGCGGCAGCTGGAATTGCCGCTATGCCATCCAACAGGCGAAGGGGGGTTGTGGCTCTTTGCTTCCCTTCCTAGGGACCACAGAAGGAGGCGGCGAGAGGACTGGACCATTTTGGACAGCGTAAAATTGAAGAGTTTCCGCAGGCTAAGGAAAAGCCCTCTGTCAGCTTCAGGCACAAAGACTTACTTGTTTCCGCAGGCATTTTATGAAGAATTTTCATTGTTCGTATCTTTGCATGCTTTTGTTTTTTTCTTCAAATTTTATGCCCCCTCATTTTAAAAAGTTCACAGTTCCGTATATAAAGGCCTTCAAAGAATAAATCAATTGGCTGGTCCTTCTCCCTGATGGGGTATTTCATTTTAGGTAAAGGGACCCCTGACCATTAGGTCCAGTCGTGGCCGACTCTGGGGTTGCGGCGCTCATCTCGCTTTATTGGACGAGGGAGCCAGCGTACAGCTTCCGGGTCATGTGGCCAGCATGACTAAGCCGCTTCTGGCGAACCAGAGCAGCGCACGGAAACACCGATTACTGGTTTTGGGGGGGAAATGTAATCAACTGTGCGGGTTGCTTTTTGGTACATTCAACACCTCGAAAGATTTCAAAGCCTGATGGCATGACTTTCTGCTTGCTGTTATTTGGCAGGAGCACGGAAATGTTGCAGAATGCAGTATTTGGGGTTTTTTACATGGATTTCAGCTCCCTCAGGATCTCTGCTTTCGCAAAGAAGCAAGCAAGATTCTAGAAGCTGTGTGAACAATGACTAATAAAATCTTAAGCCAGAGAAGTGGCTGAGCATTGGTGCCCTGTTTCGTTCTTTCCTTGTGGCTAGCAAAAAGTAGAATAAATTTTGCAAATGAATGACACACGGTCGCAGAATTCATAACTGGTTGCAGAATTCAGCTTTTCCCGATGCAGAATTTTGCTCATTTATTTTAGCACACATCAGTCCACCTCCTTAAATCAGGCAAACATTTATTTGGGATTGTTTGGGAACAAAAGCCACTTTGATTGAGGGCAATTCAGAGTGAAGAAATGAGGTAGGGACAGAGTCTAGAGCTGCCTCCACTCCTGCTATTGCCACCTTTTTTTAAAAAAAAAGCAAAGTTTCCAGCAGAAAGATAACAAGTACAATAAATAGGAACAACAAAGCAATAAACTCAACAACTAAGTAATCACTGGGCAGACTTTGATTGCTCTTCTGGTGGCAGCAGAACTTCCTGTTTTAAAATGTCATGGGAGTAATGTTAGCAAGCCGCAAGACCATCCACTCTGGGCTTCAGCTCCACCGAAATCACTTGAGTGGTTTGTGAAGTGCAGTTTGATTTTCTTCTCTCTAAAATTAACAGTGCCTTCAGAAAAAGGAAAGAGAAGTGTGGAGAAATATCACAGGTTACAGAGAGAGGGAGAGAGAGAGAGAGAGAGAGAGAGAGAGAGAGAGAGAGAGAGAGAGAGAGAAAGAGAGAAAGAGAGAAAGAGAGAAAGAAAGAAAGAAAGAAAGAAAGAAAGAAAGAAAGAAAGAAAGAAAGAAAGAACAAGAATAACCACACCCTTGGCAAACCCCAACATCTCTCACCCACCACCAAAGGAACACAACTGAACAGCAAAGAACCTGCACAAGCAACGCTGACACCAAACCCTACATATAGTAAGCACAGTGGTACCTCGGGTTAAGAACTTAATCCGTTCTTAACCTGAAACTGTTCTTAACCTGAAGCACCACTTTAGCTAATGGGGCCTCCCGCTGCTGTTGTGCCGCCGGACCACGATTTCTGTTCTCATCCTGAAGCAAAGTTCTTAACCCGAGGTACTATTTCTGGGTTAGCGAGTCTGTAACCTGAAGCGTATGTAACCCAAGGTACCACTGTAAAATAGAAACATCGCCACCCGACCCCGACCCCAACCATCATTCCCCCTTTTCTTCCTAATATCTCAACAAATGAAACTGATTTGTAAAAATGTTACATGGAAGAAGAAGAAAATACAAGAGAGAGACATTGCACACACTTTTGTAAATCAAGAAAATCTTTAATTTAAAAGGGGGGGAGAAAGAATAAACAAGAGTGAGAAAGCAAGTAACGCTCTGTGGTAGACGGAAAGCTCAGTTGGTAGAGCACGAGGCTTAATCTTAAGAGTTGTGGGTTCAAGCCCCACACTGGGTGAAAGATCCCTACATTTCAGGGGGTTGGACTAGATGACTCTAGTAAGGTAAAGGTAAAGGACCCCTGGACAGTTAAGTCCAGTCAAAGGTGACTATGGGGTCGTGGCACTCATCTCACTTACGGGCCAAGGGAGCTGGCATTTGTCCACAGACAGCTTTCTAGGTCATGTGGCCAGCAAGACTAAACCGCTCCTGGCATAACGGGACACTGTGATGGAAACCAGAGCGCACGGAAACGCCGTTTACCTTCCCTCCGCAGTGGTACCTATTTATCTACTTGCACTGGTGTGCTTTCAAACTGCTAGGTTGGCAGGAGCTGGGACAGAGAAACGGGAGCTCATTCCATCGCAGGGATTCAAACCGCCGACCTTCCGATCAGCAAGCCCAAGAGGCTCAGTGGTTTAGACCACAGCACCACCCGCATCCCTATGGCTCGAATGGTCCCTTCCAACTCTACAATTCTATGATCCCTGTTTACCTGACAGCAATGCTGAGGATTTTGTTAGATGCACCCGGTGGCTTGCTGTGCTCACGGGACGCCGTGGTTCTCTATTCCTGACACCAGCTTCAAAACAGCAGTTTTCCCGCTTGAGCCTGATGAGGACTCCCAGGCCTCCCCCCTATTTGGCCCATGCGTCTGTTGTAAACAAAAAATTGCCCTTTTTTCCCTTATGGGGTATCCAAGAGCCCATATAGAGTCCTTACTTAGGTTCCCTATTGGTAGGAGAAAATAACAGAGGCCAACCAGAGAATATTGAGAAGCAAAGCAGCTAGTAAGCCTGATCTTTATTGATCTGTTGCAACAGGGTCCTCACTCACCACACGCAGGAGGGAGGAGGAACCCAGAACAGAAGTGTGCCTGCCCTTATATAGACATTTTAAATTCCCTGCCCTGGAGCTCAAGACCACCCCTCCATACATCATACATACATCACAGAAAAGGTGGTCTACAGCAGAAATCTGAGTGCTTTGTTTACCTCCTGTCTGCCAGGTTACCTGTTTAATGGTCACTTGATTGGATTGCCTGGAGAGCCTGGCCAGTCTTTTGTAGTGATAAATACTTAGTTCCTGAGCCAGGTCACAGCTCACACCCTACTCATGTCTTAAACGTGCCCTTAAGACAGGATTTGTGAAGGAAAAGACAATGGGGAGGTTTTTCCATTTTCCTTTGACCTTGCGGAGAAAACATTTGGTCAGTTTGGGAATCAAAATGGTTTCAGGTATGGGGGTAGGCCAAGGTTTTGAAAATGGTATAAGTGCAATTTATTCAGAACAAAAGGCTAAGCTAATTGTAAATAATGTTGTGACGGAAGAACTTAAAATTGAAAAAGGGACACGACAAGGTTGCCCAATTTCCCCACTTCTTTTTATTTCGGTCCTGGAGGTTTTGCTGAACATGATTAGAAGGGACCAGTTGGTTAAAGGTATACAGGTCGGTGCTAAACAGTACAAATTGAGAGCATTTGCAGATGATTTTGTATTGACGTTACAGGAGCCAGAATCTAGTACTAAAAGGGTTTTAGAACTGATTCAAGAATTTGGTCAAGTTGCAGGATTTAAATTGAACAAGTTAAAAACTAAGGTTTTAGAGAAAAATCTAACACCAATGGAGAGAGAGAGGTTTCAGAATGTGACAGGTTTAACAGTGGTTAAGAAAGTTAAATATCTGGGGATTAACATGACAGCAAAATATGGGAATTTATTTAAAGATAACTATGAAAAATGTTGGGCTGAAGTGAAAAAAGATTTAGAAATTTGGTCAAATTTGAAGCTTTCATTGCTGGGCCGTATTGCTGCGATAAAAATGAATGTATTGCCTAGAATGTTGTTTTTGTTTCAAACTTTGCAAATTGTGGACAAAATGGATTGTTTCAAGAGGTGGCAGAAAGATATTTCTAGATTTGTCTAGCAGGGCAAGAAGCCCAGAATAAAATTTAAAATACTAACGGATGCAAAGGAAAGAGGTGGATTTGCCCTGCCAGACCTCAAACTTTATTATGAATCAGCAGCTTTTTGCTGGTTGAAAGAATGGCTGCTTCTTGAAAACACTGACATTTTGGACCTAGAAGGTTTTAATAATGTATTTGGATGGCATGCATATCTGTGGTATGACAAGGTCAAAGCACATAAAGCATTTAAAAATCACATTGTCAGGAAAGCACTGTTTAATGTTTGGATAAGATACAAGGATTTATTAGAAAATAAAACTCCAAGGTGGCTGTCACCAATGGAAGCGAAAGCCTTGAAAAAGCTCAATATGGAGGTCAAATGGCCGAAATATTGGGAAATTTTGGAACAAGATGGAGATAGACTGAAATTGCAGAGTTTTGAAAAATTAAAAAACAAAGTGCGAGACTGGCTTCATTATTTTCAGATAATGGAGGCTTTTAATTTGGACAAGAAAATTGGCTTCCAGGTGGAAAAATCAAAATTAGAAATTGAACTGTTAGAACCCAAAACTAAGAATTTGTCAAGAATGTATAACTTGCTGCTGAAATGGAACACTCAGGATGAAACGGTGAAATCTGCTATGATTAAATGGGCACAAGACGTTGGACACAACATTATGTTTGCTGACTGGGAACAGTTATGGACCACAGGTATGAAATTTACAGCATGTAATGCCCTAAGAGAGAATATTATGAAAATGATATACAGGTGGTACATAACCCCAGTCAAGCTTGCAAAAATTTACCATTTGCCCGATAATAAATGTTGGAAATGTAAAGAAAACTGAAGGTACATTCTTTCACCTTTGGGGGACGTGCCCAAAGATTAAGGCTTTCTGGGAAATGATATATAATGAATTAAAAAAGGTATTTAAGTATACCTTCTTGAAGAAACCAGAGGCCTTTCTCCTGGGCATAGTCGGCTAATCGGTGTTAAAAAAGGATAGAACTTTCTTTATGTACGCAACAACAGCAGCAAGAATACTTATCGCAAAGTATTGGAAGACACAAGAGCTACCCACACTGGAGGAATGGCAGATGAAACTGATGGACTATATGGAACTGGTGGAAATGACTGGTAGAATCCGTGACCAGGGCGAAGAGTCGGTGGAAGAAGATTGGAAGAAATTTAAAGATTACCTACAGAAACATTGCAAAATTAAAGAATGTTAGAGTGATGATGGATTGAAATTAAGTGGTTTCTAGCTGCACAGACCTTAAAGTTATAGACAGATTAAGATTAGGGATTAGGAATAAAAAGGTTAAAAGAATGGAAAATTGGCTATTAATAGATAAAAATTTAATGTTATATTATATTATATTATATTAAGATTAAGGATTGGGATTAAAAAAGAGGGAAAGGAATTGCTGGACAAACAAATTGAATTGGAATACAAAAGAGGGAGGTATGAGGAGGTCCAGAAAATAAGTTAATTCAAAAGCAGTGATGGAAAGATGGAATTGTTTTTAACTGTTTTTTCTTTTTTTTTCTTTTTGTATTTTATATTGTGTATTTTTCTTTTTACTTTTAAATTCTTTTTTATTGATGTGTCTTTTTCTATCTGAAACTTTAATAAATATCATTTAAAAAAAACAAAAGAAACAAAATGGTTTCAGGTCGGTCTTCCTGTGCTGATCTATGTACGTGCTTGGTTGGTACACTTATGAACATTTAACATATATCTAAGACCTCAAAATTCCTATCATACGTCCATTTCACAGAATATCAGGTGTGGGGCAGATAAAGACATGAAGAGGGCTGTGTCTTTGCCTGCGTGTGTCAGGGCTGCGCATATCAGGATTGTGGCCTCAGCCACACAATAGGTGTGTGATACTGTGCAGCCGAGTTTGCGTAGCACATTCTGCTTGGCTGTGGCTGCAACTGAACAGGGATTCTTATGAGGAAGAGACCTTGTAGATTCACTATTGTAGAGAAACTTCCCAGGAAGGCTGTTTTTCCCAGGCCAGAGATCAACAATGAATAGTCCTTCCGCCCTTTGAACAGAACAGGATTCTAGCCCTTCGCGTTTTGCTGCATCGTGCTGATGAGTAACGGGTGAATTTCTTGCCTTTGTTTTTGGAAACTGTAGGGGAAAGCTGACATCCACTGCACACTTAAATGTATCCTGTTGAAAGCAGTTAAGGGGCAGAATGTTGCCAGGATTATGCTTTACACCAGTGGTTCCCAACTGGTGGTCCATGGACACAGGGGGGGGGGGACGGTCCTCATATCTTACTGTTACGGGAAAATGTAGGTGCGAGGCTTTGGGCAGAGCCCACGAGTCCCTGCGGAATAAAGGAAGGAGTCCAGCCACCAACTGGAGCAAATCCTCCACCAGGGCCAGGGCCTTTTCAGTGATGGCTCCAACCTGGTGGAATGCTCTGTCCCATGAGACTAGGGTCCTTCGGGATTTAATCTCCTTCTGTTGGGCTTGTAAAACAGAGCTATTCCGCCTGGCCTTTAATTTGAATTCAGCCTGATCTTTTATTTCCCTTCTCTTTCCTCCCCCTCACCTTTTATGAAGATCACCTGCTCTGAGACCCCACAGCTAATTCTCCCCTGGCCTCCTCGCTGGCCCAAGTAGCACCAATTCAGCCAGTTAGCCCTGGGGATTATCTAACTGATTTTTGAATTTTGAATTTTATTGTTATTCATGTTTTTATACTGTATTTTATGCTGTTTTTATAATTAAGTGTTTTAAATTTGTTGTTAGCAGCCCTGACCCCGCCCTGAGTGGGGTATAAATCAAAATTTATTATTATGATAATAGGTTCAAAGAGGAACTTTGAACCCTGAGGATGGGGTGACAAGGACTTTTAAAAGTTTCTATCTTATCCCAGCACACAGTTCATTAAGCATCATCACTACATCATTGCTACATCGGAAAAGGGGAGAGTTATACATGATTAATATAAAAGGAATATGTTGGGGTAACAGGCGGATACAGGATATGTGCTGGGAAGTACATTCTAAGCACCTACTACAAAGGGACAATAGAACTTTGGTTTGCATAGTGCCTTTGCCCAGTGATTTGACACCTATGAATACCTTCCTGT